ACCAGACCATTTGCCAACATCGTCGGCCACCGACTGTATCCGATAGTCTGCGTCTAGTGCATGTGTGTACGCTACCCTACCGACTCTGACAATTTGCGATTCGTTTCGTGTTTAGGACTTGTTCTCGCTCACTTCGCACTCATCTCAGCATGGCTTCCACGCGCGTGCGGAAGCGCGAAAACGGCGGTTAATTTGCGCGCAATGAATCGCGAAATATCAAAGTTTGTGAGGTCACGCAAACCCGCTTGCGCAACAAGACGATTTTTTTTATCACAGCTGCCGATTCATCGAATGCCGCCACGCGCACCGAATGAGGCGGCCATGCTTTGACTTCTGCGCGCACTGGCACTCTTTTCAAGTTTTTCTACATGCGAGTTTCGCGGACTTTTCAAGCAAGCTACCCAACCTGCTTCCTTCCCGTGTGTTTTGGTTTTCAAGGTCGCCCGCCCGCCGCATCCTCCCCTCTCTTTATCACACGGAGGAAGGAATCTTTCATTCCCCCATGTTTTATCGCAACTCCTTTCCCTTCTCTCGCAAGTCTGCTCTCCTCTCTTGATCACAACCCCTTCGCCCGTCTCCACCGCTCTGCGACGCCCGCCACGCTAGCTCGAATTAGTTTCGTTTTCTGACTGGAAACGCGCCCAGAGCTGTTCCACGCGTGTGCGCGTCTTGCTCGCTCTTGGTGTGAGTGTGTGGTCATGATGGCCAACGGGAGGACTAGCACGCTTTTTCGTGCTGCTCAACAAAACGTCGAAAGTGTGACTGCTTCGCTTGAGCGTAATCCGCGTGTTAAGTGCGTTGCGGAGCGCTTGTTCATAGCAGTTGACCATCTGGCAGCCAACTTGCCGCTTCAGGCGTCCCAGTATTCAGCTGTGGAGATGTTGAACCCGATGCCAAACCTGAAGCTTCCGAACAGGACCACTGCGGCGGCGATTTGTGGCAGCGCGTCGTCGACTCTGACCTGTGAGAGCGGGTGGGAAATGTGTTGCGATGATTTAATTACAGCCGATGATGATGCCGACACTATGGAACCGTGCATGGATTGGGGCATTGTGAATGAAGTACGTGGCAAGAGCGATTTGGAGGAATCGGATTGCGAGAACGACGAACCTTTGGAGCCAGCGCCTCATGCAGCTTATGCCATGGGCCTCGGCGAACGAGCAGCCTGCCGTTTTAAGTGAGCTCAAGACTGCCCTTATCGTTTCTACTCTTCGAAACTCATGCATCACGGACTTTTTGGGGCAAAAAAAGTTTGTGTTTTCACTCGTAACTATTTTTTAAAGGCTGTGTTTCATTTACTACGAACTTTGGGATACAGCTAACGATGCGGGATACAGCGAACGGATGCCGTGTCACGCTCAGGTTCGTTATAAGCGGGCTCGACTGTATACAGTAACTAATGAGCCTGTCTTTTCATACTTTGCCCAGCGAATGGGGGTTGGGGTGGGGGTTGGATACTTGTGCGCACGTGCTTATCCTTTGATTGGGAGAATCGCGTGCCTTCGACTTTGATTAGAACGATTGCGTTTAGTTGCCAGGCACAAAAAGATCCCTTCGCTCGCTGGACAGGCACCGTTTGTGGAAAGGGTGCGTTTTTAAAGCACAGCGAAGTAAGAACTGGGGCACTTATTAGTTTGCACTCATATCCGTACCTTTGATGGTGTTTCGTGCTTCGTTCTTGTTTAAACAGCGAGTTAAGCGTCGAGCGGTAAACAATATTAGTTCGCTCTCTTCCTGTGTATGTTGTTTTCATGCGTCATTTGTGTGTGAGCAGTGTGCTGTACGTTTCGATCTAATTGCCATTCTCAGCGTTACATTCCAAGTTGTTGCTATCGCATTCACTGCTTTGCTTTTGTGGCGAAACTGGGACTTTTCTCACTTTCGGACAACCAAGTCGTCACCACCGAGGGGATGTCAGATTAGGCGCTGATGAAAACTCTCCGAGACCAGTGATGACGAATTTTCGGAGGTTGACTCGTCATGTGCTTCCGTCTTGCGTCGCGCCACGAGTTCGCAGGCTGGAAGCTTTGTCGATTAGCCAATTAGTTCTGGCAACCACAGGAAGGCACATTCAATGCTATGCAATGCAGACAATAGCAAAAAATTTCAATGTTTTCAATAAGTAAGGCTGCCAGCCAACTGTTTTGGATCCGGTATTGCGGAACTCCTACAAAACGCTGGTGTGAGCAGATACGGTCGCTCCAGGGGGACATGCTCTTTTTTCACTGTTCCTTCACATTGAAATCGCACTGATACTCGTCAAGATAGCAAGTGTGCCAGCAATCGCAAACGCTTTCAAAATCCAAGTCCATTATTGCTACTCAAGTGATTCCCCCCCCTCCTCCTCGCGTTGTTTCATGCTCATTCAAAACGGGTGGTTTACTTTTTGTTTGAGCATTCCACAGCAGTTCTAACACACGGGGGGTGTTATCTTATGCATTTTCCAGGCAATAGGAATGGGCCGACTCATTTGATCTCGACTTCAGCAGTGCTCACGCGCTTTCTTTTACGGGCTCATAAAGGTTGCAATGCGCGGGGGCATGTTATCTATTTGGACTTGTTATGGAACATGGTGGCGACGGCAAACACCCGCCAAAAGTGTCCATATAATTGCTATGGCAATAATAACACAGGTTTTTTTTACTGTAAAATAAATGTTTGGGGTTAGCTCTGTCGTTTGTGCCTTTTTTGTATAATTTGCACGTTTATTTTCCAAATTGTATTGCACCTGCATATAACGAAATCCTACTCATAACGAATTTTTTCATGAATTTGTCAATTTCAATATATCCAGGTTTAACTGTAATTATGAGTATCAGTACGATCACTGTCGGCTGAAAACTTCACTGGCAATCATAAAGAGCTGTCTATGATGCTGCTGTGGCCCTAATGGTGCATTCAGACGACGGATCGAATCCCGATGTGGCGGGACGGACAGCGCGTCACGTGACCTCACATCAGCGATTCCCCTCGTCCGCGACTCGTCCGCGCGGCTCGCGGACGGATGAACCCAAGCTGTTTCTCACATCGGGATTCTGGCGGGGGAGAGCCGGTACTTCAGCGGAATAGCTTGGGGTCGGTGGCAACCAGTACACTTTTCGTCTGCTCGCCGCATGTCCTCCATGGCTCGCGGACATCTGCATGACTGGTCGGCATCATCTACGCTTGAGCATTGTTTACTTAGTTTCCATAGACTTTGTTCTCAGGTGATTAAATATGCAGAAATCACTTTTGGTGGTTCGGGAAATGTCGCCGCCGTCGCTTATGGTGCATTCAGACGACGGGTCGAATCCCGATGTGGCGGGACGGACGGCGCGTCACGTGACCTCACATCAGCGATTCCCCTCGTCCGCGACTCGTCCGCGCGGCTCGCGGACGGATGAACCCAACCTGTTTCTCACATCGGGATTCTGGCGGGGGAGAGCCGGTACTTCAGCGGAATAGCTTGGGGTCGGTGGCAACCAGTACACTTTTCGTCTGCTCGCCGCATGTCCTCCATGGCTCGCGGACATCTGCATGACTGGTCGGCATCATCTACGCTTGAGCATTGTTTACTTAGTTTCCGGAGACTTTGTTCTCAGGTGATTAAATATGCAGAAATCACTTTTGGTGGTTCGGGAAATGTCGCCGCCGTCGCTCAACACGCGAGAATAATCTTAGCCGTCATGGTGGTGAAATATTCTAACTTTTGCAACCGGCGACGTGCCGCTTCTAAAAAAAGGCGGGACACACGTTTAGAAGTTCTACAAGTGGGGAATAATGTAGTTGAAAGAATATCCTGCTAGCAACTCCCTTTTCTCCCTGAAAGAATAACACTACTCGTTCATTTGTCACAACACGACAGACATCGCAGCGAAGCTTCGCTTTTTGCGGGCATCCATGTTGAATACTCTCAAACCGGTCTGCTGCCAGCGGGCGCAGGTGAGCGCCGAATCTGCTGTCGAGGGTAATCCGGCTGTTTTCGTCTAGGACACCGTCCGTCGTGTGGATGCGCCTGCAGGCGGACCATCCGCGGATTAGCTGTCCGCGTCCACGACAAATCCGGATTCGGTCCGTCGTCTGAATGCACCATAAGAAACAATAGATATTATAGCACAAGTTGGTAGACAATCAAAACCCTCGATGGCGAAATTGCTGGAGAAGATTTTTTTTTTTTTTCATTTTGTGAAAATTTTGTTGTCGTGAAAATACTAAAATATGCACACTAATCAGCTACTTCGCACAACCAAAATTTACTTAAAGTAAAGTAGTGGCTGATCTTTTGCTGTTTTTCGATTCGTATATTGTAGACAGCAGGTTGCACAAGGTGGCAAACTCCTGGAGATATTGTCATGCTTTAAGCCTTCAAAATCTTGCTCTTTTTAATAGAAGGCAGCGTCATTTCAAAAGACCAACCACTGCACGTAAACAAGGCGTGGGAGAACGGGTGGACACGCTGCAGCAAGCTGTTAAATAGTCTAAAGAATGTGAGTCGGCGTCACATCACTTTTCTGGGTGTCGTCACTTAAAACGTCGCGAGTCAACAGGGGCGTTTGTAAAAACTGTTTGTTGCAAAAGAAAAAAAGTCTTGTTGCTATCATCATCGTCCAACTCAATGTAAACAGCGATGGTCACACTGATGCTTGATGGGGAAAATGTAAGTGCCAGACTTGTCGAATGAGCAGTGCTTCAATTTTCGAACTTCCCTGTCTCCTGCTAGCTCAAGAGTCTTAAAAAAAAATGTGGCAGGTCACTACCTGAAACTTATGTTACTGCAGGTGTGCTTCTTAATCTCTTCGTTATTGAGAAAAGGAAAATCTATTGAACTCTATCAATGTTCGCCAGAAACACCAGATGTCTTTATTGCTCTGAGAATTTTGTTCTTTGGGGTGTTTGTTGTTGAGGGGTTCAACTGTATTACCCCAGCCCTATTTATGAGATCTCCTGGGGTCCTCATGAGTTTAAATTATTGAGAGCTTGCTGTGTTTTTATTTTCCTTGAACCGTATTTGCTTTGTGTAGAGAATCTCTACGCCTGGAGCCTCCTGGGCGACAAGCCAGCTTGACACTGCTAGCACCTCCATCAGAACTCAGCCCCGCTTCAGGAAGTGCCACCAGGCCACCTCGCTTCATTCCTGGTCATAGAAAAGCCCGCAGCTTAGGAACTAAGTAAGTACTACTACCTCAAAATAAAAGCTGTACTGGCGGCTCAAAAAGCTGCTTCTTGCTGTGCAAATGATATGAGAGCATGCAGAGAAAATGGGAGCAGTGGTAGCGACACTTTAGGACTGTAAAGTAGCCCACTCCGCTGCTACAAGACTCTAAATGAGATTGCCATCGGCACTTCTTGGGATGTTTACACAGTGCATGGTGAATCGCTGGCAAGAATGTATTGATGTCAAAGGGGACTACAGCATAGATTACATATAGTTCAACCGTTTATAGTGCAGTACCTGCTACAGTGCAGTCCTTTCGGACTCCTGTTTATTATCCCATAGAACTCCATGTATTCACATACCGCTTATTCTGCAGTCCCCTAAGATCAAAGAGCTGTTCTAATGCAGTTGCTGGAAATCTCGCCAACAAGTGAGATAGTGAGTTCTCTTCTCGAATGATTTGCACAAGCCAAGGAGAAAGCGACAAGGTGTTACGAAGGAGTATTTGTGGAACAAACAGACGAGGAACAGAAGGAGGAGAGAGCAAAAAAAAAGGCCTCAGTGACAGCAGATTGTTGGCTTGTAGAGTAAGGAGAAAGGGTAGTTGTCTAAATTTCGGAGAAGCCTCTGCACTCGTGCCTACGCGGCTCTGGCTGCTACTCGCCTGTGCGTACCTACTTATGCATCAAGTGGGTATTACTGCAGTGTGGCTTTTAAGTTTCCTGTCAGGAAAATTAATACCGTATTTACTTGCCAAATGAATTGACTCACTTAATAATCGCACCCCCTACATTCATCCTACTTTCGCACCCCCTACACCCCCACGCACCCTCTACATTCATCCAGTCCTACTAGCCGACACCTGGTGCCTCCTTACCCGTTGGATCTCTTTCATTTTTTATTATTTTGCCAATCCCCCTTGGCCATCTGGGCTTGCTCCCTCCTCCCCTTCGCCCTTTGCTGCGGGCCATATTGTGTTTCTTTCTATCTGTGCGCAGCACGTCTCCCGTCTTTTTTATCTGTGCGCTACAACAAGGTTCACGAACGGTGCGATTGTAGAGATGTCGCAGCTGGTAAGCACCACAGCGTGCTGAGGTCACGAAGCTGCCCGCACCAACTGACGGCCGCTTCCTGTGAATACGAAAGAGCCCAACCACGTGCACGCGATTTTTGAGCAATGACAAGATTTGCTGTCGCGAAGGGTCATTCGTCGGTATCGCGTCGCAGGTTTCTGGAAAACCAGAAGGAATCGCTTGTCATCCGCAAAAGATCGTGACGATTTCTGCAACATGGTAACACCCCCAATTCTCGCTTTGTTTGTTATTCGTGCGTAGAGGAACCTCTTGTGTAAAAGCGAGGCAGCAGCCGTATGTTGTCGTTAATCTTGTTATCGACGGTTTGTTTTGATGCTTCGGGGGTAGCTTGCTGAAATGTTGGTTACTTGCTACAGTGTTAACGGCAGCGTTGTGGTCGTTGTACGATGTTGCCGCGAAGTTCGCAAAGTGCGCCGTAGCGTCGTAGTGCACGCTTCTGAGTGCCTCGAGATCACAGTAGATAGCACTGTTGAGGTTAAACGATTGTGAAAAAAGATAGCCACAAAACCCTTTTATGGCGTGCGTGGGCGGTTCGGGGACCCCTTGCAGAAGATAGTGCCATCAACCACCGAAGATGAGTAAAGTGCAACAAAGAAGCTGTTTTGAAACAGTGTAAGTGACCTAACTTTTTTTGCATTACCGTATTTTTTGCTCCTCCCAAAAAAGTGTTCATAAAATTTATCCTGTGCAATAAACGCACCTGCCAACTTTTGCTCTGATTTTTCGAGAAAAAAAGTGCGTTAATTACGCGAGTAAATACGGTAGTTGCATCTTCACAGAGTGCATCGGATATTGTGCTTGCATCCTTCTCCACAAATTTGAAACCTTTATGGCTGTATGACTGAAGCTTTTGCCTTTGCTGCCAGTATGAGAACTTACAAGCTTGGCAGGCTTTCTGCACACGTTTGCCATGTTTCACACATACTGTGGCCTTTTTTCAGGGTTTGCGTGTGATATTCTAGATGTCCAGTCTCTATGTTTTCATGGGTGAGCTTCCCACGGCAGCATGCAGACTCGCAGGCTAGGCCTAGTGAACGCTAGCAGCCTTGTTGGTTGTTTCCGTAAACGATCAGAGTTGGTTTCGTGCGCTATCATCGAAAACCTTTGTGGTGGCAGTACTTGGAAAACAGAGGAATCACATCATGAATGAAAGCAAGGGTGTGGCTGGCATGTGTAACACTTAAATGGTGGTTCGGTTCAATTGCAGTGTTTTGGACATTGTGCACATGACCTTGAAATCTGCCATACAGTGCACGGAATTTTGGTTGTCATTTGACATAGTTTCGGCGCTGTGCATGTAATCAGGTGCTTGAATGCGACCTTTGAACATTCAGAAATGTAAATGTTTTCGAAAACCCCACTCGCATGCCTTAGTCATTGGATATGTGAGCCTGTTTGGTCAATATGTAATACCGCATTTACTCGCATAATCCTCGCACCTTTTTTTGGCGGAAAACCGATGCAAAGTTGGGGGGTGTGAAAATTAGGCAGGGAAAACTTTCCACGAAAACGTACAGTGCAAAAAAAAAAAACGAAGTGGCCGCAAATCGGGATTCTCACACCAGCAACTAACAGCAAGCTTTGAGAAGCACTAATTAAAACTTACCTCAACATTAAGAGCACTGGTTCAACACAAGGCAAGATTTATTTGAGACACTAAAAGTGCAAGCAAATAGTCGAGAATTGGAATACTGTACACAAAGCTTGTGGGGTGTTGCGGCCGTAGCGGTAGCATTCGTCGTGCAACAGGAGCCCTCAAAAGGTAAGCGTAGGACGTCAGTATTGGGCTGATGGCTATTTAATAGAATCGTCCGCAGTTTCCTTCTGAAGAAATAAAGTTTACGATCAATCCCAGTTTTAGGCACACGGCAGGCCCAACGCATCTTGGTGGCTTTCAGCTGCTGTCACTAGTAGCGAGCACAAAAGTAGACTCCCAAGGGCCTAACGGCGGCCCTGTTGTTGTTTAGTGCGTGCATGATCTATCACTTTCAACTTGAAAGCAGCGGTGTAGCTTCAGTATTGCCCCATAACGTGACAAGATTACCAACACATCATACAAAACACGCCGCAACACGCACTTGCCACTTTGGCTTGGCATGGATTGGATTGAATCTCTGTGCAGTAATAGTACAATTGATGCTTAAGAGAGGGCGCCAGATGACGCGTGCTATTATCATCAGTGGCTGGATCGAGCAGATGTCATTATTGCGGCAGTTTTTGGGGGTGCGATAATCACTCGAGGAAAAAAAGAAGTCTTATTTTTGTTGGGCGTTGTGGGGGGTGCGAGAATTATGTGAGTGCGAGGATTAAGCGAGTAAATACGGTAGGGTGATTCCACGAGAGATCGACACGGGTCCAAAAGTTGATATTTTAGATTTCATTGAGTATTTTATATTTCGTGCACCTCTCACCATGTAGCCCGGAAGTCAACTTTGTTTTATGATTAACGGCATAACTTACGAGAACAAAAATATCAAACTTCACCAACACGGGGGCACCAATTTCGTCACCTGTCATTTTCGAAAATTGTGGATGCTAAAAAAAACAAATATTTTTGTTTGAAGGAAGATATTTTTTACCTGAAATGCATGTCTAATGAAGAATGAATTCATATGGTTTCAAGTTTGTAGACTTTAAGAAAATAGCTTTTAAAAATGGCTAATTTTGCGACAGTTTGAAATAAGTTACGTATTCCCCATTTTTTTTTCCGAAAGAAATGCAAGCAGCGTTTTCAAACTTCACACGTTTTAAGAATATAGTGTGTTCATTAGGTACATAAATTATTGCTGCCATAGGGAAAATGTAAATTTTTATATATTGCCTCAAAGTTCTCATATTGGCGAAAGTGTACTCCACTGAAATTTGAATATTAGAAAAACGTCATCTTCGATTTTTCTTAAAATCTCGTAAATAAGCAACCGAAGGCCATCATACAGTAATATAGAAAAACTTGTTGCATTATTTTGTTTTTAGCGACAATATTCATGGTACAAATCAGAGCTTTTCGGGAATGCGCTGATAAGTTGAGAAATCTAGAAATCGGAAGAGAAAAGTGGCAATGAGCTTCAAACGCGAGTAAACGTGACCACATTTGGTGAAGAAAGGCTGTTTTAGCAAATAGGAGTAACTATTTTGAACACGATATTCTACAGTATCTGAATTCACTCTTATACGTAAGCACTGAGACTTTTAATATGTGGTGCCTCTTCATTACTGACACACACATGGAGCTGCTGTGACGGCCATGTGTTTGCAACACGTTGGGTAAGAGAATTGAATGTTGAATGAGTTCACAAACGATTTATAACAAATTTTTATCATTTGGGGCACGAAGACTGCCGCATTAGACTGAAGAACATGCTTTAGGGCAAGTTGTCATCCGTCGTCTGCTCTACAGATGAATAGCTTTGCGCCGCATCTCGGAGGCAATGCTTTAGATCATATGGTTCAAAGTAGGGACAAAGATTATGCCTCCTGTAATTTTATCGACAAAAACATTGTGAAATTCACTTTAACGTACTATACTTCAGTTTTGCTTTCGCACTGCGGATACTTGCGCACGCTGTTTTACGTCTGCTCTCATTAAAGGTGAGAGACATAGAAACAGACGAAAGATAGATCACTTTCATGCTGCTGGTTTCACGCATAGTTGCATTGCCAGTAATTTGAGCCTCAAGGAGCGTGGCGATGGCTGACCACTTCAGCTTGCATAGAGTTTTTTGTTCAGATTACCTCATGTTGCATAAAAAGAAAATACCTTATCAAGGAAACTTCCGCAAGGTCGAAGACATCGGCCTGTTTGCCCTCCAGAAGCTTTTGCCGCAAGCTGCCTGCCATGCACATAACAGCGACCACGTCTGCCAGAACTGCTTCAGACGCCTCAGAGATATGCTGTCTTCGTGTAATGGCTTCTCAGCTG